ACAAAGAAGAAATGGAACTCATGGATACAGAGAACAGATTGGAGGTTGCCAGAGGTGGGGAGTAGCGGGGTCAGCAAAATGGGTGAAGGTGGTCAAAAGGTATAAACTTCTAGTTACAAAATAAATAATTCCTGGCGATGTAATATACAGCATGGTGACTATAGTTAATGATATCGTATTGTATATTTGAAAATTGCTAACAGAGTAGATCTTAAACGTTCTCATCACAAGAAAAAATAATTGTAACTGTGTATGGTGACAGATGTTAATTAGACTTATTGTGATCATTTTACAATATATACAAATATAGAATCATTACTGTACACCTGAAACTAACATAATGTTATATGTCAATCTCAATAAATAAATAAATAAAATATTTTACCTGTCCAGGTGAATACCTGCATCATACACCCAATTGCTCAGTCTTTTTTCTTTTTCTTTTTCTTTCTTTTTTTTGCTGAGGAAGATTCGCCCTGAGCTAACATCTGTTGCCAATCTTCCTCTATTTTGTATGTGAGCCACAGCCACAGTATGGCCACTGACAGACGAGTGATGTAGGTCCAAGCCCGGGAACCAAACCTGGGCTGCTGAAGCGGAGCACGCTGAACTTAATCACTAGGCCACTAGTTATTGACCCCAGTCTATTTTTTTTTTAGCTTTATTTTATTGAGGATTTTTTTATTTATTTGAAGTGTAATTGACAAATAAAATTGTACGTATTTAAAGTGTACAATGTGATGATTTAATATACAGGTACATTGTGAAATATTTACCACAATCAAATCAATTAACACATCCCTCACCTCACATAGTTACCTCTTTTTGTGTGTGTGGTGAGAACACTTAAGATCTACTTTCTTAGCAAATTTCAGGTATATAATATAAAACTATAGTCATCATGCTGTACTTTAGATCCCAAGAACTTATTCGTCTTACAATGGAAAGTTTTTACCAACCTCTCCCCATTTCCTCCATCTTCCAGTGCCCAGTAGCCACCATTCTACTCTCTGTTTCAATGAGTTTGACTTTTTTTTTGTTTAGATTTCACACATAAGTGATACCATACAGTACTTGTCTTTCTCTATATGGCTTATTTTACTTAGTATAATGCCCTCCAGTTTCATCTATGTTGTCCCAAATTGCAGGGTTTTCCTTTTTTTATGGCTGAATAATATTCCATTGTTTGTGTGTGTGTGTGTGTGTGTGTGTGTGTGTGTGTGTTTGTGTCTCTATATATATTTTTTTTCTTTACCATTCATTCATAGACAGACACTTAGGTTGTCCCACTTCTGGGTATATATCTGAAGGAAGTGAGACCAGTATCTTGAAGTGATATCTGCATTCCCATGTTCATTGCAGCATTATTCACAAGAGCCAAGATATGGAAACACCCAGTTGGCCAATCTTGAGTCATCTCTTCCTTACTGCCCAGCACCAGGTGAAAAAGCCCTTAAAGTCAAGTTCATAAATACCTGGTTCTCTCCTCTTTTCCATCCCTACTACTGCTGCATCTGTTCATAGCCTATCCTTTATTTTTTTTTTTTTTGCTTTTCTTCTAATAATATAATGTATATACAGTATAATTCAAACTTTTAAGTATACAGATAGTTCTATGAGTTCTAAGAAATCTATATAGTCATGTAACCACAACTGCAATCGAGATATGAAACAGTTTCATCATCCCCCAAAAACCTCTCCCGTGCCCATTTGTAGTCAACTTCTTTTCCTAGCCCCAGCCCCTGGCAACCACTGATCTGTTTTTTATCCCTATAGTTTTGCTTTTTCTAGAATGTCATTTAAATGGAATGACAAAATATGTGGCTTTGAGTCTAGCATCTTTCACTCAGCATAATAAATTTGAGATTCAACTATGTTGTTGCAGGCGTCAGTAGTCCATTCCTTTCATTGTGAGGATGCACCAGTTTATCCATCTGCCAGTTGAAGAACACTTACTCTGTTTCCAGTTTTTGGCAGTCGTGAATAAAGCCACAATAATCATGCATGTTTATGTTTCTGTGTGAACATCAGCTTTCATTTCACTTGGTAAACACCTAGGAGTGGGAATGCTAGGTCATATGGTAAGTATATGTATAACTTTAGTTACAAGAAATTAGGAAAGTGTTTTTCAACGTGACTGGTCCATCTTGCATTCTTTCCAGCCATGTTTGAGAAGTCCAGATGCTTTACATCCATGCCAGCTTTTGGTAATGCCCATTTTATTTTCTTATTTTTAGCCATTCTAAGAGGTGTGTAGTGGTATCGCATTGTGGCTTTAATTTGCATTTTCATTAATGATCATGTTGAACATCTTTTCACGTGCTTACATGCCATCCATGTAGTGGGAAGTGTCTGTTCAAATCTTTGACCCTCCTTTTTTCAAAAAAATAAATTGGGTTGTTTGTTTTCCTATTTATTATTGAGTTTTAAGAGTTTTTAGATATTCTGGATGCAAATCCTTTATCAGATATATGTTTCACAAAAATGTTCTCCCAGTTTGTGGCTTGTCTCTTTATTCTCTAAGAATTTCTTTTCAAAAACTTTTTATTTTGAGATAATTGTAGATTCACATGCAGTTGTAAGAAATAATACAGAGAGATCTTGCTTCCCCTTCCCCCAGTTCCCTCCAGTGGTAACATCTTGTCTAACTGTAATACAATATCACAACCAGGGAATGGACATTGATACAATCCACCCATCTTACTCAATGTTATTCAACTTGCACCAGTTTTATATGCACTCATTTGCGTGTGTGTATATGTGTGTGTGTGTTTTGTTCTGTGGAATTCTATCATACGTGTATATTTCTGTGACCACCACCACAGTCAAGATACAGAATAGTCCATCACAAGTATCCTTTCATAGCCATAGCGACCTCACCCGCTCCCTGCCTCCCTAACCCCTGGCAACCACTAATCTGCTCTCCATCTCTATAATTTTGTCATGTCAAGAATGTTATATAAATTGAATCATACAATATTTAACTTTTGAGTCTGGCTTCTTTCACTCAGCATAATTTCCTGGAAATTCATCCAAGTTTTTATATGTATCAGTAGTTCCCTCATTTTTATTGCTGTATAGTATTCCACACTTTAACTATTCATTAGTTGAAGGACATCTGAGTTCTTTGCAATTTGGAGCCATTATGAATAAAGCTTCTATAAACACTCATGCACAGGTTTTTGTGTGAACACAAGTTGTCATTTCTCTGAGATGAATGCCCATGAGCATAATTGCTGGATCTTATAGTAGTTGCATCTTTAGTTTTATAAGAAACTGCCAAACTCTTTTCTAGGATGGCTATACCATTATCCACAATACATTTTGTATTATACATTCCCACCAGTAATGTATGAGTGATTCAGTTTCTCTGTATCTTTGTCAGCATCTGGTTTTGTCGCTATTTTTTATTTTAGCCATTCTGATAGGTGCGGATTGATATCTCATCGTGGCTTTAATGTGTATTTCTCTGGTGGATAATAATGCTAAACATCTTTCTATGTGCTAGAAGTGTCTTTTGAGGAGTCCATCCTTTATTTTATTTGTTTATTTAATTTTCCAGATTTATTGAGATATAATTGACATAGTGTATAAGTTTAAGGTGATAATTTAATACACGTATATATTGCATAATGATTATCACAATAAGATTAGTTAATACCTCCATCACTTCACATAATTACTTTTTTTGTGTGATGAGAACATTTAAGACTTACTCTCTCAGCAACTTTCAAGTGTACAAGACAATATTGTTAACTATCATCACCATGCTGTACATTAGATCCTCAGAACTTATTCCTCTTATAACTGCAAGTTTGTACCCTTTGACCAATATCTCCCTATTTCCCCCGCCCCACCCCAGACCCTGGCAACTACCATTCTACTCTCTGTTTCTATGACTTTGACTTTTTAAAATTCCACATATAAGTGAGATCACACAGTATTTGTCTTTCTCTAACTTATTTCACTTAGCATTATGCCCTCCAGTTTCACCCATGTTGCTGCAAATGGCAGGATTTTCTTCTTTTTATGGCAAAATAATATTTCATTTATATCTATATCGATATTCATAGAAATAATATTTCACTTATATCTATAACTCCATTATAGATATAAAATATAATATATAATATTTAAAAATCATATTCCATTATATATATATCTCACATCTTCTTTATCCATTCATCCATCAGTGGACACTTAGGTTGGTTCCATATCTTGGCTAATGCTACAGTGAATACTGGAGTGCAAATACCTCTTTGGCATCCTGATTTCAATTTTTTTGGATATATACCCAGGAGTGGGATTGCTGGATGATATGGAAGTTCTATTTTTAATTTTTGAGGAACCACCATACTCTTTTCCATAGTGGCTGCACCAACTTACATTCCCACCAACAGTGCACGAGGGAGCCCATCCTTTCTTGACATGGCCATTGCATGGGAAACAGTCCCATTTCCTCCAGTCTTGGTCTCTTCCAAAGCAGAGCTAGATGAGGTGCCTTCCACAGAACCCCATGCTTACCCCAACATAAGCTGTAATTTCCTATTGGAAATCTGTCTCCTTCATCAGACCCTAATCTCCAAGTGAGCAGACTGCAGTTTTGCTCAGCTCAGGATCACCAGCCAGGATATTGCTGTCACAAATCAAGTGCCATTCTTCAATGAATAAATAATAAAAAACAGAATGACTTCAGTGCTAAAAAGAGGGGTTGGCACAGAGAAAGCATGGATTAAAGAACAGGGCAAGGCATGGCGATTATCACCCCATTAACCACTCTCTAGGCCAGCTCTGGAGCTAAAGCCTGGAGACCAGGCTTCGACAACGCGCATGCGCAGCGCTTTCTGCTCGGCCCCGCCCCAACCCCGCCCCAAGCCCCTCCCCTCAGGCCGCCCCACCCCATCAGCAACCAATTAAGGAGAGGAGGCGGTCCTGGTTGGCGCGGTGCTCCTTGGGTAGCGTCCCTAGTTACTGTTGCTAAGGCTGCGGCTCGTCGGAGGTGGCGGGAGTGAGAAGTTTTGGCAGCCAGGGCCTGAGAGAGGTCAAGGGTCAGTGCAGAGCCAAGGAAGAGATGGTGAAGCAAACGATCCAGATTTTCGCCAGGGTGAAGCCCACTGTCCGGAAGCAGCAACAAGGGGTACGGGTCTGAGCAACGAGGGCGCCGGCACGGCGGGGCCTCCCAGGCCAGGGGAGGGGCGGCACGCGAGGGTCCCGGGCCCGGGCCCCGGTGAGGGGTTCGGGATGCCGCCGGTGTCCAGCACCCCGTGTCCGAGGCGCCCCAGCAGCCACGCAGAGGCCAGCGCGCCGCTGTCAGGGACGCGGACAGAGGGACACCCAGGCCACTCCCACCCAGCACAGCCCTGCTGGCACAGACGTACCCTGAAGAGAGCCACATTCTTGCACCAGGGCAAGAGTGCCTGGAATGGGTACATTATTAATAATATTTCATCTCTATCCCATATCTACACTGTATATGTATATATATAACATCATAGCATCTCATAATCTAGCATTTGTTTCATGTAATTTATGTATTTAAAACAAGGAGAATATAGGGTCTTTGTGGTTATCATTATCAGTCTTTTTACTCATGGAGTACATTGGGCAGAAGAAGCATGAGAAGACTCCAAAGAAAATATTGTTTTTTTGTTTTGTTTTGTTTTAAAGAATAAAGCAGTATAGAAAGGAACCATGGGTATCTTCCCATTTTCTCTCTTTTTACATCCACTTGCAAGAAGGTTTTTAAAAGTGCATCATATGTAAAAAGTATGTTATACATAACATCCCCCTCACCCCCCACCCAGATTCTTAGCTAAAATTGTTGAATTTATCTACATTAACTCAGCAGTCCGACAGTCAGAAGCAGGTGCTTGGGTATGGTGATGTAAGAAGATGAGTAGAATGTGTGTGTGTGTGTGGGGGGGGTGTTGGTTGATGGAAAATCTTGGATTTAGTATTGAACTTTCTTTTTTCTTAAAATGCACTGTTTGGACATTTTAATGTGCCTCCTTTCGCATTTCTTTTTTGAGATTCTGTGGAGTGGATTGTTTGATACTCCAGGAAGTATTTTTAGGTGTCATACTGTATTTTAAAATGTCTGCGTCTTACTGAGATGCAACATTATGTCGCATACACAAAAATAAGAGAACACAGAGGAACAGTTTTTGAGTTAGTGTAGCCCTGCTTTCTCTCAGAAATCCCACTTTTAGCGCCCTATCTTTTTGCCCCCCAGAGATTGTGTGGTTGTTTCTCTGACTGGAAATGCTGCCTGTAGCCTTAAACCAAGAGTGATTCAAAGCTATTTTTCTTTCTTTCCTCTTCATTTTATGGCTCCATTACTTCATTAATCTTATTCCTTAAGGCACTTTAAATTAAATTATAATAATTTATAGATTAATAAATTGGAAGATACAGAAGATGAACCTCTGTGCTAATTTTAACAATGGCACTGCTTTTCATTTGTATAGTGCTTTGTATATTTCAAAACATTTTCATATTCATCCTTGCATTTGATCTAATTGTCTTCTATTATTAAAAAAACTACTCTATCTCAAATATTTTTATGACTTTGGGTAGAGAGCCAATCTATTAGACTAAACAAGTTTTCTGGTTATTAAGGGACTTTTCTTAATGCCTCAAAGAATGGCTTAATGAGAGTGGTGGAGGGTTACTGTTCCTACTCTAGTTGATGGTCCTTTTTGTCTTCTGAGCACTGAATGTTACAGTTTTTTTTTTTAAATGTGTGGCACCCCTCATTCCTGTATGTTTCATGTCTTACACACCCCTTTCACTCACTTGTCTAGCCATTACCCTTTCTTTTTTTTTTTTTTTTTAATGCAGTGCCCTACAGGATATAATTTTTAAATGTCTCTTGAGAAAACCTAGCCAGAAAGCCTTGGACCTGATGCCATTACTTTATACAAATAATTTTATTTTACAGAATGACTTTTCTCCAGGAATTCTTCACATTTTAAATGAGAGGGTTCAATAACAATCTGCGTAGGAAAATTATTCAGACCTTCTGGAGATTTAGGTAGGCTTTTACTTGTTTAAGAATATGACTTTTTCCCCCATAATCAAGCATCTAAATGGGTCTTAGACAGGAAGTATTGCCTGTTAGAAAGAATTTTATTTCTGGTGAAAGACAAGAAGTCTTTTTAAAAAACCTCTAAATCTAATGACTAACATTTTTTATGGTGCATTACAAAATGCTTCCATTTCCATGACATCATTTGATCCCCACAGCAATCTTGTAAGGGAGGCAATTCTGGTTTTCTTCATTTTGTGTATAAGGAACCGAGATTCTGAAAGTGGTGGCTGGTCACACAGCTGGTAAATTGAGATCAGTGTTGGACCCAGGTCTTTGGACACCAAATCTTATGCTTTTCTTTATTCATTGTGACCTCTTTATAGGCCTGACTCTTGATTTTCCTGGCCGATAAAGAAAGGAGTAGGTAACCAAGAAAAGAATCAGAGAATATTACAGTTGTAAGGAGGTTGGTTAACACACCTTCATTTCCATATCAGCTTTGAAAGGTTAAGTGATTTTTCCCAGGTCATTTGCTAATTACTGGCTGAGCTGGGAGGAGAACCTTGAAAATGACATCAAAGACGTGAATTACATGTGTCTTTTGAAGCCACATGTCTTTTATCAAATGCCTGAATATGTCTCATGGAAACTTGGGCTTCTTTGAACATAACTTGAATTAGAGCATTCTTGTGAACTCTCTGAGAAGTCTCAGACCTAATCCTTTTATCTCTGTGTCTACATTCTGTAAATGCTCAGAAATCCTTGGTGGTTGTAGTAAAATGTTAATTTCTGGTACGTAAATTTAAAGCAATACTTGGATAATATGTTGCTTTCAGGCCTATTAGTGTCTCCACAATGGAGACACTCAGATGCTCAAATTTGAACATTAGATCATTTAAAGAGGATCTGAGCTTCGATAGAACACTGATTTAGGTTTTATATCTCTTGTTCCGTTCCATATATTTGTTCAAGTCTGCACACAGTTCAAAGAGGAAAATTATCCAAAATATACTATATGATGACTTTTTGTCTTAAAAGTACAATTTTTTATATCATTACAATGCATGTCATAATAACACGGTCATAGTTGAAGCTGCGATTTTACCATTGTATATTCATTCGTTGTCTTCATATTTGCAGATTTATTCCATAGATGAAGACGAAAAATTAACACCTAGCCTGGAAATTACCTTACCTCGTGATTTGGCAGATGGGTTTGTGAATAATAAGCGAGAAAACTACAAATTTAAGTAAGTTTTTCTTTCTCCTTCTTCGTTTCTGTTTTCCTCTTGAACAGACTCTGGAACTGCATTAATATGTACTGTGAAGTATTAGCACCACTTCTTGGGGAGAATGTAGGGCAGTCCTCTCTCTCATTTAGTAGACAGAATTCAAGTTGTCTTTTCTCTGCTGTGCCCAAAGTTGAAAAGAGGGTGTATTTCTGTATCCAACATGATATCCCAGGATCCCAGCCCTTCTTTACTGCATCTGTTTGTCTAGTATTACCCTTTTCCTACTTGGCCCACTATGGTTTAGCACCTATAAGAAGTTCAATGCATGAGTAAACTTTATTAAAGATAAGAACTTAAGATACAACCTGTACTGTATAGGTGAGCCTTTTTTACAACATGAATGATATACAGATCTCATACGCACATATGTACATTCTGTATCCGTACTGTCCAGTATAGCAGTCACCAGCCACATGTAGCTCTTAAGCACTTGAAATGTAGCTGGTCCGAATTGAGATGTGCTGTAAGTATAAAATATATCAAGGATTTTTGAAGGCTTAGTATAAAAAAAAAAAAGAATGTAAAATGTGTCGAGAATTTTTTCACATTGATTACATATTAAAATGATAAAATTTTGGACATATGGGGTTAAAAATATATTATCAAAATTAATTTCACTTGTTCCTTTTTACTTTTTTTTTAAAAAAAGTGGCTACTAGAAAATTTAAAATTACGTATATACTCACATTTATGGATTGCAGTGTATTTCTCTGGGACGGTGCTGAACTGTGTGGTCCAGGTGAAGAGTTCCAAACAGCCACTCCTGGATTGTCATCAGCGCCTTTGGTCCCAATATGCTTCTAGTAGGCAGACCTCGAATTTTGGGATTATGGCTGTTTCATACTGTCTTTATTCTCCAATTTCAGATTATGCCATTTCCTTTAATCTCCACTTTTGATTTTTGGAGAAGTTTGAGCCCAAGTAACCCATATTTGATTTCTGTCCCAGACTTAGGTGATGGATTTCTGGGTCCTGCTGAAGGAATCCTAATTTCTCTCTTGCATTTCTCTCCAGGCTGGTTTACATAGGCCTTATTTTGAGACCATTCCTGCCCCTGCCCTTTGGATAAAACCATCCCAGATATTTTTTATGGTTTTCTCTGTCTCTCTGTTTCTGTCTCTCTCTCTCTCTAATTGTTATTTACTCTTTTTTTTTTTGTCTCGTAATGATTCTCTTTGGTCTTCACAAATCTGCCCTTTGTCTCCATATATATATTTCTCCCTCCACCTCAATCCCATCTCCTTCTTGTGTCTCCTTCTACAGTAAGTACAAGCAGGATTGCTAGCACATGGTTGCGTAGTGAGGTGGCCTCACCTTGTCTTTGTGACTCCCCATTACCTTTCATTCTGTCCTTTATGGAGTAGCCTTAATACATGACTTCCTTTTTCTAAAAGGGGCATTCTCCCACTGATGTAAGCATGCTACATACATTAGTAGCTATGACTTTGTGACAACTGGCCTAGGCCAGTCTCTATAAAGCCACGATTTGCTTTATTTAGGATGATTCTGTTTGATTGTTAGAAAACAATTGGCCATATCTCTATCTACCAGTCCTTTCCAAAGTATTTGTATTATGTAGATACAAATAGAGTGCATTTAAACATGTGCTTATTTAAAAAGTGCTATTTGCCTCTCTTTAAATCTCTTGATGATTCTTTCTAAATCTCTGAATTAAAAATATTCATTTTAGTATTTTAAATAAAGAAATTAATAAAATATTTAACTTATACATATGTTCAGAGATAAATATTTAAGCATTTTAAGCGTTGTTTTCTCCCAAGAAAATTCATTCAATTGATAAATATTTATTGACCATCCACTGTGTGCTGTCTTAATGGCTAGGAATACAGCGGGGCACCCAACAAAGCTCCTGCTCTTATGGTGCTTACATTTTAGTGGGAGAAGATGGACCAGCAGATCAGTAAGTAAAATGTGTGTCAGAAAGTGTTAAGTGCCATGGAGAAAACTAAGGACGGGAAGGGGAGCAGGGAGTGCTGAGATGAGGGGCAGCAAGGGGCGGGGTGGTTGCAGTATTTCACAGGGCAGTCAGGGAAGGTGTACAGGAAGGTGATGTTTGAACAGAGACTTGAAGCGGGTAAGGAAGCCAGACAGTCAGATACCTGAGGGATGGGAATTCCAGGCCAAGGATATAGCAAGAGCGAAGTCCCTGAGATGGGAGAGTGCCCGGCATGTTGGAAGATAAGTAAAGGGATCTGTGTGACTGGAGGAGAGTAAGCAGAGGGCAGAGGGGAAGAAGAAGGTTACAGGGGCAGCAGAGTGGCCAGATCCTATGGAGCTTTTCCCACAATGTCATGGGAAGATCATGGAGGGTTTTGAGCAGAAGAATAAAATAATCTTGCTTATGTTTTAGCAGAATCATTCTTTCTAACATGTGGAAAATAGACTGTAAGGGGGCAAGGGAGACCAGTTATGCTATTGCAAGGAAGACTGGGCAAGAAATTATGGTAGCATGGGCGGGGTTAGTAGCAAGTGGAAATGCTGAGAAATAGTTGGATTCTGGATGTATTTTGAAGGTCGGTGTTCATAGAGTTTGCTGATGGGTTGGATATAGAGTGTAATGGAAAGAGAGGAGTCAAGGATGCCTTAAGGGTTTTGGACTGAACTTTTAGACAGATGGAGTTGTCATTTACTGGGATGAGGAAGACCAGGAAGAAGAGGTTTGGGGTGGGAAGAAATCAGCATATACCAAGTCTGAAATGAAGTTTAGAAAAAGCCTGCAGAGCTTCCTAATGAATATAAGGACCTTCTGGGAACCAGGAAACCTAAGTTATGTCTCAAGGCACGTTATTGGTTAGTTCCAGGGCCGTAAGTAAATTGTTTTATCTCCCTGGGCCTCAACTTCTTCCTCCGTAAAAGATTAGACTGAACTTGTTAAACTCTATGATTTTATTTTGTTCTTCAGTGGTTTTCAGAAGCTAGCTGATCGTAATGCCTTTCCAGTTTACTATGCAACTACATTATATAAAATAAAATATTTGGGGATGATGATATTTGATGTTTAATGAACCTTGCTTGATTTATTAAAACTCCTGCTATCTTTTTGGTTTATATGGTGATAGATGTAATTTGTGTTACTTAAGAAAGTGGAGTTGGGAATAGCTAATTGATTCCCTCAGTCATCACCGACCTGGGGAAAGAAGCAAATCAGCCTTATTATCATCATCCTCCAAAGCACCGCTATGTCTGTGCTCAGACATCACAGTAGGCAGTGCCATGAAGAGGACTGGGGCAGCCGTGTCCCCTGTGTTATGTCTGAAGCTCTGATACACCTATAGGGTTTTGAGAAGCGTTCTGGGCACACTCGGCAAATATTGCTGTCTCAAATATAATCTTGCCTGCTAAATGACGTAGTAGCCAGAGTGCCTTACAATGTCTCTTTATATACAGTTTCATTATTTGTGTCTTCAAAAGGGAAGTTAATAAGCTATAGGGATCTTTTGAAGTTAATGTTGAATACAGACAATGAATTCCATTCCATTTTGTATTTCTAGCCCAGCTCCAGGCATCCTTCCGAACTCCTCTGTAGTGAAGGCAGTCCTGCATTTCATGTAGTCTCTGCTGTAATTGAACATGTGCCCAATTCACTTGCGTAGGCAGACACATAGACCAGAGATTCCTAAGCTACTCTGAAAGCTGCTTAGGATTCCCTCAAAGTGTTTGTTTTAGAGTTTTTGCTTTAAAGTGCCCCCCCCTTTATTTGGAAAAATGTACAAAAATGATGGAAGAGTAATGTAGTCTCCTCTCCTATCCCCTTTATGGGAGATTGACAGTTGTTAATATTTTGCCCTGTATGCTTATGCTTGCTCTCTCTCTCTCTTTCTCCCCCTTCTCCATGCCCTCTCCCCCTCTCCTCCTTTCCCTCTCTCTGTTCCCTTTCTCTCTTTCTTCATGATGTTTTAATAGAGGCCATACTCGCTGGTAGCAACTTACCACACTGTAAAGCGTAGGTTGTGTGTCTCCTGCCCCAGGTATTTCTCTGTGCTGGCGATCCTATACTAAGCAAAGTGTGAGTGCCATTGCAAGAAGAGCGAAATGGACACCATTCCACCTCCCCAGGCTCCTAGCCTTGCCGATCTGATAAAGACTTCTCTTTGCAGAACAGGTCTATCTTAATTTACTTTTTGACTTTTGACTCACGATCAACAAAATGAAACAAAACCATCCTGAGAATTAAGTGGCTGATACCAGGATGCAGTCCCTAACTAATGGAAAATAAACGTCACTTCAAAATTTTGAACTAAATATTTAAGCTAAGTTCAATAATCATCCATTTCATGGCTGCGTTCTTTTCCTACAGGTCAGACATCAGGAGTTCTTTGGCTGTTTACATCCTGTTGTTGGGTTTCCATTTCATGCACTTATCTAAATTTGAAGTTGATGCCAATAGCAGACACTGTTCCTCTTGAGAGCTGAAAAACACACAGTTTATTATTTGGTTCAAAGCTGCTGCAGTTTTTCAGAGGGATTTATTGTGCAGATCTTGTCAAAGCAATACTGTTTACCCACCATTTGTATACAGGGGTACAACAGCGCAGTGTGATTGGGACTACAGGGCAAACATTGTGTTAGGTTAGGTAAGCCCAGTGATGTAAATATGGGGTAATTTACAAAGCTTTCAAGGAAAAAAAGATTATTAATCTAATAGTGTTTGATGGCTCAGTTTTTAAATAATTACCGTTTTCACATTTGCAGATTTCAAAGGATTTTTGATCAGAATGCAAACCAAGAGACCATTTTTGAAAACATTGCCAAACCAGTTGCTGAGAGGTAGGATTGCCTATATTTTGTTCAGCGGGTTAGTGGTTTTTCTTCTTGTCTTCAATTCTCAGATAATTGTGGTAATGTGCTTCAGTGTATCAATTATATACTCAGGCTACAGGGCATGTAATGATGAGAGCATTAATACCTTCTATTCAGATAGCCGTTTGTTTTAGATTTAGATTCTGAGCCTCAAAACAAACCAGTGAGACAGACAGAATAGCTATTGTTACTCCCATTTTAAAAGATATGTAAATCTCTGAGGATCGGAGAGATTAAGTGACACTGCTCAGGGTTGCGTGGCTAGTGGTGGCAGAGCCCTGGATGGTTTTCTAACTGTGAAGTCCAGTGCTCTTTTCTCAGTACAGTATTTCAAACACATGGTTAGATGGATGAAGGACTAAGTACAGGTGACACCTGGGGGGCCTAATAATGTTTGATCCAGCTCGAACTCAGTGTAATAACTACACTTCAAAACATGGCCCTTCGCTTCTAGGTCCCTTTTGTTTCTATAAATCCAGGTAGTTCCAGGCTGCTGACGACTAGACCCAAACTCACATGAGAATATGAATAAATCAGAATGCCATATTATTAATATATATTGGGAAAGTCTCCTTGGGACTAGACACTCATGCCCTTTGATAAGCACACTCTCCTCTTGTAGGGAATCTATATGGGAAACTAGTACTAATAAGGTTGCTTTCTGATCCTGAAATCATTTGGATGATTTTAATGACCTAATAATCCCCAGATATATCTATCTTTATGATTAGAATGAAAAATATATCTGCTAAGTAAACTCATTTTTCAAGTCCACTAATCATTATACCCTTTCCCATGGACATTGCTGGAAACACATTGCCACATTTTGTCTCTCAGACTCCTGTTTTATGAATCCTACTCAAACTAAGCCTTTCTCTTTTAATAGTCTTCCTTCACAGTGTGTAAAATACAGTCAATAGGCTTAAGCTATTTTAGTTATAGTCACAATCCAGTAACATCTCTTTAGATTGAATTCAGGTCTCCTTGAACAGATGTCACACATTTCTAAAATTCTCTTCCTTTTAGTAATCTTTTGGGTTATGTCAGTTTTCACATAGTTGATCTCGTGTGTTTTATTTTGAAACTTTCTAAAATCATTCAGGGAGGGAACCTTAGTTTCTGTTCCATGGATGTCCAGTTTTTCCTCCATCACTGCCTCCCTCTCCCCTCTTGAGCCCTCTTCCCCCTGCAGCTCTTGTTGTGCCCTCTGCCTGGAACTCTCTTCCTTCGGAAATCTGCATAGTTGTTTCCTCAGTTCTTTGAACTCTTTGCTCGTATGTCACCATCTCGTAAGGCCTTCTTTTACTACCCCATTTGAAATTGCACTCCTTGTCACCCTTCCCTATTTATTTTATTTTATGTTTTGGCACTTATCGCCATCTGACACACTATATAGTTTATTTATTAGTTTTTTTGTCTGTCTGTCTTCCTCTAGAACAAAAGCTCTGTGAAGGCTGGGGATTTGTTTTGTTCACTGACTTGCCAAAGATACACAGCCTAATGGTGACAAGATTTCAAAAATGACAGGCAAGAACATTTTATCCAGGAGGCTCAACCTGGTCCTAGTGGATCATGTCTTTCATCAATAGGAAACATTCTTCTTTGTCCTTTTTAATGCTTTTTTCCTTATACCTCATTTTTCCTGAAACTATTTTTACTAATTTTTTTTCTGTTAGCTTTATCTGGTTTATCTTTCTAGATCTCTTAATTCAACTGGCCTGTGTCAGTTTGTTTTTAAGTATGAGTCTGGTAAATAAAATGTACCTGGTTTTTGCCTTTTTAGCCAAACTCAGAGTCCCTAATCTTTAATTGGTTACTTTAATCCGTTTATATTTCTTATGATTACTGTAATAGTGTTTGGAGCTATTCCTCCTATCTTAATTTATTTTATCCATATATCATACTTTCTATTTTTTTCCTTTCTTGCTGTTTGTTGGTTTGCCTGTGCTCTTTCTGGTTGTTGCTGCTGCTTTCCATTTTCTCTCTCAAGGTGTACATTGTACTTCAGCACCTCTAGTGTGGTTTACATTCAGATTTTTAAACTTATTTGTATTTTTCTCAATATCTAAAACTTCCCTGTCTGTCTGTCTCTCTGTCTGTCTGTCTCTCCTCTCTCCTTCCTCCCAGGCAGGGACCCTAGCACACTGTGACTTTGCCTTTCCTGCTCTTCTACCACTTCAAGTGTTGAGATCAGCTGGTAATTTCATTTTGGATTGTTGTGAATTGTTTTTATTATCAGCATTTATTTAAATTTATCTCCAAGTTATATTTATTCTTTGCTCATCACTGTTTCTTATACTCACATCTATTTCTTGGATTCCTTTATAGTTTTGCTGATAATCACCCTCTCATAATTTTTTAGAGAGAGTTCAAGATGGGGGAGCTTTCTGAAGCCTTTCATTTACCTTCACAGTTAAGTGGCAGTTTGACTGGGTATAGAGTTCTAGGTTAAAGGTTCTTTTCTCTTGTAACTGTGAGGATATTGCTCTAGTCTCTTTGCATGCAGTGTTGCTGAATAGATGTCAGTGTCAGTGTGGATCTTATTTCTTCTTAGGAAACACATTTTTTTCCTTTCTAAATGTTTTTAGGATTTTTTTTTTCTTTTTCTTTGTTTTTATGAAATTTCATATCAATGAGTCTATTGATAGTCTAGGTTTAGCTATTTTTTCATGTATTCTTGTCTCATTCAGCCATTTCAACCTGCAGACCCTTGTATTCAAGCTCAAGGGTCGTCCCATTGATAATTTCTTTGATAACTAAAAAAATAATTTCCTTTCCTCCAACATATCTATTTTTTCTTTCTGGAACTTCTAGTTTAAGAACCACCAGTTCTAGGCTTCAAATATTGTAATTGTCCATTCACAGTTCCCATATCTTTATCTTTTGGTTCTGAGTTCTGGAAGAAATTGTTAGCTCAATCTTCCAGCATGGTGATTTGCTTTTCAGGCCGTATGCATTCTCTATCACTTACTGCTTAAATTTTTAATTTTTACAATTTTATTTTTCATTTCTAGGAAATGAAAAAGTCTATTCTTATTTATTGACATAATATTCTCCCTTTTCCTTCTGAAGACAATTATTATCTTCCTTTGAAACACTGGCTTTTTTCCTGTACACCTTTTCTTTACGTGCATTTTCTTCTACTGTTGAGTTTGGTGCCTTGCTCTCCTGGTACAGATTTTCCTCAGATATTTGGTGATTCTTATTGGTGGGCTCATTGAAGTCATTTCAGAGTTCTGTTGGCTGTTTGAGACTGCTGTTTCTGTTCACTACGGCCCATCCTAGTGTCTGTGGGGAGGGAATGATGTGTGCTGTGGGCAGGGGAGGCCCTCAGCTCGTCTGCTGAGTGTGAGAATGCTCTTTCCTCCTGGGTGTTTCTTACCACCAAGGGTTCTGGTCACTGCCACTTATCCAAGCTCCTACTCTGTAGAAATGTGTGCTACAGTAGACAGTGGATAGACAGATGGAGGCAGATTCACAGTTTCCTTTGATTCATCTCAGAAGGGGAGGGTTATTAAACAAATTAACTTACTAAATTAAAAGCCTGGGGGATCACAATTTTTATTGCCTTTAAATATGTCATATACAGTATGTTCACACTTTATGCAAACTTGAATTGTGTGACTTGGAAATGGTAAAACATAAAATATCAATAAAGTCTCATTTATACACAATATTTGAAGTAGTATTTGTCCCCATAAATTGAAAACTATTTTTTTAAGAATTATATAATTTGACAGGCCTGGTGAATGGAAACTGTGCCACTTCAGATGTCAAGCAGAAATGCCTGCTATTCCTAGTGAAGATTAGCCTTTAAGAACACATTCCCAATGTTAATCCAGCCACTGTACATTGGCTCTACAAAGCTGTTCTATTGTGTTAACACATTATAGCTTAATTCTGGTTTCTGTATACAATTAAAGCTAAATAAAATTAATCGTATTTCTTTCCAAAATTCTGTAATTCCGGAATCTTACTAATTTAGACTCATCTTTTCCTACTTAATTCAAATCTGTGATATGACTGCAGAGCTGCATGACTAGTGGTAAGAATGTGTAAAGCTTTCAATTTGTATCATTGGAAATTAAGTGAAAGAATCTTTGTGGTAATTTATTACTTAGAACATCTCCACTAGGAAGTACTTCATCATTCTGCCTCTTCTGAACTTTGATTTGTCTGAAATATATCCTATGTTGTTTAATAACATGTAAAAACTGCCTTTTATCATACTAATTTTGCTCGTTGATTTTGGACTAATTTTGTATAAAAATAAAATTTAGTAGGTCCACAAATGTGCATAGTGTATGGTATTGCATCAAATAAAAGAGTGTATAATTCTATTTAATATTTTACGTGGTGTTCTGCTTCTCAAGCAGGAGTGCATTGATCTTGGGAGGATGTGGTGGTCTCTCAGGGGAAACCTGAAGCCGCAAGCTAAACATGCAAGCTAGACTTTTCTGAGGTCCTATCACATGCACTTGTAAATCTGCAGAATCCCAGTTTTTCCACCAATCTTATGTTTTATCTAAAAGCTTGGGGTGTAGAAAATTTATTTTAAGTGCAGTGAGTGATTTTGGAAAAATTTGGAAATTTAGTGTTTTAGAGGAACGTGGTTTGACCAAAATGAACAGGGTGCACACCACCAGGAGGACTGGTTGTGCCAAAGACAGAGGACCCCATAGCTGACACTGGACAGCTAAGGCATCTGCATTGCAACAAGGCCACCAGGTTGGGTTTTGAAAAGCTATTAGTCACCTTGTGAATTGTTGCTTTTTAACCTTTGATTTCACCAATGATGAACAACACCAAGTGCAGCCTTTCAATGTGTGCCAAGAAGAGGATGAAGGGAACAAGAAATCTCCCAGGGCTACCACCTCAGACTTGGAGAAGGATGTGTTAGAATACTTGTACTCCTGTGCTCTGGCTGAGTGGGAGCCCAGGGCTTGGTAAAGGGAATTTTCTCATGG